GCCATCCCTATATAGGATCCAACCTGCAGCCTCGGTGCTCCCTGCGCTGCTGCGCTCCCAGCACTGCACTCTCCCGAGTGAGCCACAGGGCCGGCCCCATCATCTGCTCTTGATCCCAAAGAAACACCTCATTCATTTGGTTATTATTCTCAAGAAAATTTTTAATTACCTAATTAGATAAATAATGTATGAGACAACAGAATATTATTCAAGCAACATACACATAATATCTCTCTTTCTCTTCCTGCCTTAATTGGGTTTGGAATTGAAGAAATAGAGTATATGATTTTTTTTTTCTTCCAAAGTAATATATACTACTTCAGGGGGAAAAAAATAAAAAAAAAANCCCACACCAGGGTAAGCTCAGGGTCACTGGAGACATGATCAAAGAGTTGGCCACCCCACAGTCCCAGGCCACTGACACCAAGCCCAGGCAGAGCCTCGGATTCATGACCACCATGTGGTGCAGGGGCTTGCAGACAGCCACAAACCGGTCATAGGCCATGACGGCCAGGAGCAGGCACTCCACCAAGTCCCAGGAACAGGAAGAGCTGGATGGCACAGCCTGTGTAGCTGATGGTCTTGTCCTGTCCATGAAGATTATAGATCAGCTGAGGAATGGAGTGGGTGGTGAAACTGAGGTCCAGAAAAGACAGGTGGGTGAGGAAGAAGTACATTGGAGTGTGCAGGTGAGGGTCCAGCCGGGACACCAGGATGATGGTGGTGTTGCCCAGAAGGGTCAGGAGATATGCTATCAAGATGACCACAAAGAGGATCCCCCTCTCCAGATGGGGGCGGTCAGGAAACCCCAGAAGGATGAAATGGCTCTGGGTGCTGTCATTGGTTCCGTCCATCTCTACTGCACTTGAAGAGAAATATGGATGCTAATAACATGATCAGCCAGTACTGAAGGAGCACTTATGATCAGCCAGGCATTTTTCTATGATTTTGACGTTTATTTACTCATTTAACCTCAACAACAATGATATGGAGTAGGCACTATCTTTATTATCCCCAATTTATGGAAAACTGAAACACATGTGTTAAGCAAATTGTCATATGTAGAAAGAAGCCGAGCTGACTTTGAACCCAGGACACATGGCTTAGAGTCTTTGTCCTTAACATCTGCTGGTACTGCCTCTAAATCCAGTGAAGCCAAAGATGACTCCTGCTATGGCCCAACCATTGATTCTTCTAGAGACCCAAGTACCTGAGCTCCTGTCAAAACCCCAAAGACCCAAAACGAGCCCTGAAATAATCAGTAAATAGTATTTAGGTAATATGCAGTGCATGCAGAATACATCATCTGCTCTTTTTTGTTTGTTTGTTTTGTTTTTGTTTTTGTAACCGGTAAGGGGATCGCAACCCTTGGCTTGGTGTCGTCTGCAATGCACTCAGCCAGTGAGCGCACTGGCCATCCCTATATAGGATCCAACCTGCAGCCTCGGCGCTCCCTGCACTGCTGCGCTCCCAGCGCTGCACTCTCCCAAGTGAGCCACAGGGCCGGCCCCATCATCTGCTCTTGATCTCAAAGAAACACCTCATTCATTTGATTATTATTCTCAAGATAATTATTAATTACCTAATTAGATACATAATGTATGAGACAACAGAATATTATTCAAGCAACATACACATAATATCTCTCTTTCTCTTCTGCCTTATTGGGTTTGGAATTGAAGAAATAGAGTATATGATTTTTTTTTCTTCCAAAGTAATATATACTACTTAAGGGGGAAAAAAAATCAAAAAAAAAATAAAAAAAAAAATTGTAACAGATAATAGAACCTTAATGCAATAATTCACATATATGTGCAGAAACCTCTATCAAATTCTAATTCCAAGACTGTGTCACATTTGAAGCAAACCATGTTTGAGGAGATAAATGACAAGTCGTACAGACAAATGTAAAGGGACAGATTAAGTACATTTTAGGCAACAGCTCCAAACTCCTCAGTTAGAATCCCTTAACCAATGTGCCACAGTTTTGAGATTTTGGAAAGCTCATTTACCTTTTCATAGTTTTCTCATCTAAAATAATAATAATCAAATCTACCTTAATTATTTTACAATTATGTTTTGAGACATCTAAAAATATAAATTTATAAAATATACTAAGGTTTGATAAATATAAAAATTTGCATGTATGTTAAATAAAATAGACATATCATAAAAGCAGAGGATAGGACAATGAGTTCATGAGGTTAGGCAGAGAAATTCTGAAGAAAAAAAAAAGTCAATGAAGAGAAACTATCTCGGTGCATATGAAAGCATACTTTGAAAATACGGTAATTCAAACGTGAAAACTGACAAGGAACTTGCATGTATTCTTTATGCAAAAACGAATTTCAAAGTATTTATTTAAACATTTAAAAAATACAAATACTATATGAAAGCATAATAGTCTCTTCTTTTTTTTTTTTTTTTTCTACCATGGATTTAAGTAGACCTCACAAAAAGTTACAATTCTCTAAAGCTATGAAGCAAAATATGAATAAATTTGATTGTATGTTAAAAAAAATCTGTATTCTAAGAAACACTACTAACAACATCTAAAAAAAAAAGTAACAGTAGTAGAAAAATGCATAAAACAGTTGAAAGTCTACCTTGTTCAATTTTTTTTCAAAAAATG